CAGCAGCAGCAGCAGCAGCAGCAGCAGCAAGCCCCCACGCAGCGAATTAAATATGTCTGCACACCGGAACTCCATGTTGCATGCGTTTGTGTCTTTTTTTCGGCTTTTCTTCAATAGAGGCCGCGATAAAAAATCCAATTAAAGGCAACTGAGGCTTACAGAAACCCCAAACTTTGCATTAGGGGGGCCCCCTAGTGGGTCCCCCATAGGGGCCCTTTGAGTCATGACTCAAAGGGGCCCCCCAACAGATGTAATTAGATAGCAGAGACTCCGTAGGCTCCTGATGGGGGTCCCCCAAGTGCCCTTGGGGGCCCCCCTCTTTGCCCTCCGGGCCCCCCTGGGGGCCCCCCAGGAGGCGCTGAAAGCCCCCAAGGGCCCCCAGGGGCCCCCAGGGGCCTCCAGAGGATTAGAGGGGCTCCCAAGGGGCCCCTAAGCTTGTTGAGGGCTTCTTGAGCAGCAGGTGACCCTGTGGGGCCCCACATTAGGCAAATAAAGGGGCCCCCCTGGCTAATAGAACCAAAGGGTACCTCTCTGGAGGCCCCCTAAGGGCCTGGAGGGGGCCCCTTCAAGGCACTCTACGGGCCCCCAGGGACCCTCAAAAAACCACTTGAGGGGCCCCCATGGGGGATCCTAAAAGGGTATGTGTATAGGGCCCTCCTGGGGGCCCCACAGGAGGCCCCAAAGAGGGTCCTATAAGGTGCTCCTGCCCTGCAGGGGGCCCCTCATGGGGGTCCCCTAGGGGGTCCCTAGAAGGGCCCCCAGGGGCCCCTGTAGGTACCCAGGGAATGACCTAAGTAGGAATTAGTACGCAGGAAAAGCCTCACAGAGGGGCCCCTCAAGTGGAACCCCCAATGTGGGGGCCCCGAAGGGCCCCCCGGACGTGTGCTGCTGCTGCTGCTGCTGCTGCTGCTGCTGCTGCTGCTGCTGCTGCTGCTGCTGCTGCTGCTGCTGGTTCAGGCCCCCGAGAGAATTGCTGCAGCAACTGCCGGCAGCAAGCTGCTGCGTGTGTTTTGCTGCTCAATGGACTTGGCAAGAGTCTCTTTGTCTCTTTCGCTGAAGAGTCCGTCGAAGAGGTTTTTGCCTGCAGCACAAGGGTTTGAGCCCGAGGGTTTAGGGTTTAGAAGGGTTTGGGGCCTCCAGGTTTTAAAATGGAGGGGTCCAAGAGCCCCTTGCTAGGGTTTAGGGTTTAGGATTTGGTGAGGAGGCCTGTTTAGGTAGGCGCGTGGATGTGGTTGCTGCACTGAGGGTTTAGGGTTTAGGGTTTAGGGTTGAAGGAGTAGGGCCGCCTGCGCAGCGCCGGACGAGCAGCAGCGCGAGGCCGTTGAGGGTTTAGGGTTTAGGGTTTAGGGTTTAGGGTTTGCCTGTGAACTTGAGGATTTGGTAAGCTGCGAAGCAAATGAGCTGCTTGAGGGGCCCCAGGGCCCTCCAAGTCTCGAGGTAAAACCCTGAAAAGTCTTTTTGCTGCTGCTCTTGTGCTGCAGCTAGCTGGCTAGCTAAAGGGGGGTGCAGCACAGCAGCACAAACCTCCAGGTTACGCCGCGCGGAAAACCTGCAGCAGCAGCAGCAGCAGCAGCAGCAGCAGCAGCAGCACAGTTCCGCTTTTCTTTCCTGCTGCAGGGGTTCGCTGCTGCTCCAAGCAGCAGCACGAACCCAAGAAGGCCCAAACTGAGACACACCGAAGCAGCAGCAGCAGCAAAGCAGCAGCAGCAGCAGAGCAGCAAAGCAACAGCAAAGCAACAGCAGCGGAGCAGCAGCAGCAGCGCAGCAAAGCAGCAGCAGCGAGGCAGCACAGCAGCAGCTGCAGCGCCAGCAGCGGCACCCAAGCCGCAGCAGCAGCAGCAGCACCAGAGCAGCAGCAGCGCCAGCAGCGGCACCCAAGCAGCAGCAACAGCACCAGCACCAGAGCAGCAGCAGCAGCTGCAGCAGCAGCAGCACCTGTCGAAGTTGAAGGAACCCACGGAAGCCCACAAACGGTCCGCCACAAGGTTCTTTGCATGATAATGTTTTTTTTTGGAAAAGCAAATTTGGAGTTGTCCCTGCAGCAGCTGGGGTGTATCTCCACCTCGCAGGTGCAGCAGCAGCCGCAGCAGCCGGCCCGGCTGCGCCCCCCACGCCGCCGGAGCCGCCTGCTGCTGCTGCTCCTGCTGCTGCTGCTGCTGCTGCTGCGCGTCTTCGTGCTGCGGCGCGTGCTGCTGCTGCTGCGGGGCTGCAGCAGCGCCGCCGAAGAAAGGCAGCTGCTGACGCAGCCGAGACAGCTGAGCCCAGGGGGGCACAAGGCCAGGCGCTGCTGCTGCTGCTGCTGTTGCTGGTGCTGCTGCTGCTGCTGCCGTGTCCGCCTCCTGCTGCTGCTGCTGCTGCTCCAAAGTTGCTGCAGTTGCCCGCAGCAACAGCCAGTCCCTCAGCGGACGAGACCGCTCTCTCGCCAGCTGCAGCTCACAGCAAACGCACACGCAACGAAACAGCTGCAGCAGCAGCAGCAGCAGCAACAGAGCTGCAGCAGCAGCAACAGAGCTGCAGCAGCAGCAGCAGCAGCCGTCGCACTAACAGCGCCGCAGCAGCAGCAAGGGCCGCAGTAACAGAGCAGCAGCAGCAGCAGCGGCAGTAACAGTGCAGCAGCAACTGCAGCTGCAGCAGCAGTTCTGCAGCAGCAGCAGCAGCAGCAGCAGTTGCTGCCGCCCACAAGACTGAGCCCGCATGCCTTTTGTCCCGCTAGCCCCAGCTGGGCCCCCTTTCCAAACCCTAAACCCTAAACCCTTACCCCAAAACCGTAACGCCTAGTTCTTGAACCGTAAACCCTAAACCCTAGCCCCTAAACCCTAGCCCCTAAACCCCATCCCGTAAACCCTACCCCTAAACCCCACCCCCTAACCCCACCCCACACCCCGTACCCCGTAAACCCTAAACCCTAAACCCTAAACCCTAAACCCTCACGAGGAGTTTGTGGGCGAGGTAGGTGGTGGCGGGGACGTCGCACCAGACGTCGCTGTCTCCGGAGAGCAGCAGCAGCAAATCTGTGTGTCTCTCTTTGATTTGCTGCAGCAGTGCGCGCCGCAGGAAGCCTGGGGGGAGGAAGTACGCAGTCCCCAGGTGCAGCGAGCAGCACGCCTGCAAACCCTAAACCCTAAACCCTAAACCCTAAACCCTAAACCCCGGCCCCGCGTCCTCCCCGGCCAGCGCCGCCGGCGCAAGCGGCGGGAAGAGTGGAGGCACGCAAACGGCAGCGGCAGCAGCAACAACAGCGAAAGCAGCAGCAGCAGCAGCAACAGCAGCAGCAGCAACAGCAGCAACAGCAGCAGCAGCAACAGCAGCAGCAGCAACAGTAGCAGCAGCAGCAGCAGCAACGGTAGCAGCAGCAGCAGCAGCGCCCACCGTCTGTATGGCCTGACGGAGAACCTCCTGAATGCAACGGCGGCGTTTGGGGACATCACTCTCTAGCACCTAAGTAGAAACCCTAAACCCTAAACCCTAAACCCTAAACTCTTAAGTACTGCAGCAGCCAGTGTGCAAGCGATGATGCTCCAGTATTGACCGAATCAGCAACAGCAGCAGCAGAGCCAGCAACAGCGAAGCAGCAGCAGCAACAAATACAAGCAGCAGCAGCAGGCACACGAGCAGCACAGCTCAAGCAGCAGCAGCAGCAACAGCAGCAGCAGCAACAGCCGCAGCAGCAACAGCAGCAGCAGCAGCAGCAGCAGCAGAGCGTGCGCTTGCCTGTACAAGAGCGCCCTCATCATTTGGGGAGGAGACGCAGCCGCAGCACCAGAAGGGATCAAGCTGCAGAAGCAGCAGCAGCAGCAGCAACAGCAGCAACAGCAGCAGCAGCAACACGAAGAGCAGCAGCAGCAAATACCCGAAAAAAGAGTAAAAGAAGACAATCCGGCAGTAAGAGAAAAGCAGCACTAAGGGACGAAAAGAATTTAAAGCAGACAAACACGCAAGCAAACCCTAAACCCTAAACCCTAAACCCTCAACAAGCGCATAGCCAAAGCCAGAAAGAAGAAAAAACATAAAGGCAAACACAAATGAAGCAGATGGTGATTTAGGGTGTAGGGTTTAGGGTTGAGGGTTTAGAAGCTGAGGCAAGAGAAGACTGGAGGCCAAGTCCATGAAACAAAACACGAGGGTTTAGGGTTTAGAATTAGGATTTAGGGTTTAGTGTTCAGCAGCTGAGGCCCCAAAACCCTAAACCCTAAACCCTAGGCTCTAAACCCCAAAAGCTGAGCCAAGACCCTGCGCCGCAAACCCTAAACCCTGGGCCTTAAGCCCCAAACCTTAAACCCTAAACCCTAAACCCTAAACCCTAAACCCTAACCTGCTGCAGCTGCGCTGCTGCCTTGTCAGCTAGGGTTTGAGCTTTTGCTGCTTCCAAAGAACCAACAAAAACTTTTCCCAAATCAGCAGCAGCAGGGCCCCACAGTCTTGCATGCAAATCTAAGAAGCGGCCAGTGCCCCCGTTTGCAGGGCCTGCTCACAAACCCTAAACCCTAAACCCTAAACCCTAAGCCCTGGGCCTCACACGGGAAGAACGCGGGATGCCTCCCCAGGCCTGCAGCCGCCTGCCTAGGGGACAGCGACAGTTGCTACTGCAGCAGCAGCAGCAGCAAGGGCAGCGGCAGCAGCAGCAGCACGACTAGAGGCTCAGGAAGCAGCAGCAACGAAAACCACAGTACTGCCACCGAGAGAAGCAGCAGCAGCAGCAGCAGCAGCAGCACCGCCTAACTAGCCGCAGCAGTAGCAACGGGGGCAGGATTTAGGCAGCAACAACAGCAGCAGCAGCAGCAGCAGCACTAAATTTGCTGCAGCAGCAGCACTTAGCCAGCAAAAGCCACGGCATTCAACTAGCAACAGCAGCAGCAGCAGCAGCAACAGCAGCAGCAGCAGCAGCAGCAAACCTGTGGAGCCTTCTGAAACATTAAAGGACCCCACAAAAGCTTCTCTTCCATCAACCACAAGTGTCTTTCGGTGATTGCGAAAAGCCAAAGAGCCCGCGCGCACTGCGTGCAGCTGCCCCAGGTCTGCTGCTGCTGCTGCTGCTGCTGCAGCAGCAGCAGGGGCGTAGAACCCCTGAGGCAGCGGCGGGTTAAAAATCCCCACGTGCACTTTCGCCAGCAGCAACTCCGACAGCCACTTTTGCGAAAAGCCGAAGCTGCCGATCTGCGCACACGCGCACAGCTGCTGCTGCTGCTGCTGCTGCTGCTGCAGTGCTGCTGCTGCAGTGCAGCTGCTGCAACGCTGCTGCTGCAGGGCTGTTGCTGCTGCTACAAGTATCGGATGAAGCTAAACGAAGCACAGCAAATTCGACTGCTGCTGCTGCTGCTGGTCATCGCGGAGGGGGTGGTGCTGCTGCTTATGCAGTGCTGCTGCTGCTGCTGCTGCTGTGTCTGTCACTGCAGCAACCTTTAATCGCACTTTTTCCCTTTCAAGCCTACTTTTTCAACGTGCATACCACAATTCAACGGCTTAGGGTTTAGGGTTTAGGGTTTAGGGATTACGCCGTCGATGAGGAGAATGACTAAGCAGCCCCTTGCTGCTGCTGCTTTCAAAGCTTCCTTAACTGCTGCTGCTGCTCTCGAGCCATCGAAGATGTAACTTTCCATAAACACAAACTGTTCTGCTGCTGCTATGGACTCCAGCATCGCCTGCAGCGTCTCATCTCCTGCAGCAGCAGCAGCAGCAGCAGAGGCAGCAGCTGTGGCAGCAGCAGCAGTGGCAGCGGCAGCAGGGGGAGCCCGCGCAGCAGCAAAACGCTACACATCCCAAAGCTGCAGCAACTAGCAACAAAAATTAAATAAAAACGAGAACAAAAGCTACTGCCTGAATAGCAGCAGCAGCAGCAGCAGCAGCAGCAGCAGCAGCTGACCATCTGTGTAGACCTCTATAAAGTTTCCTCTAGATATTTTCCCGTGCTTTTCGACTGCCTTCAGAAAGCCACTCCACCGCCTCTCCTGCACCCGCACAAACCCTAAACCCTAAACCCTAAACCCTAAACCCTAAACCCTAAACTCTAAACTCTACGCTCCAAAGCAGCACAGCCTCTGTGCCGTAGCCCTATCCACGCCTAGTCAATCCTAAGCCGCACCTTGCAAGAAACACCTCAAAGCTTAGGCTTTAGGGTTTAGGGTTTAGGTTTTAGGATTTAGGGTTTAGGGTTTACCATGAGTTCATAGTCTGTGGGGTGTGGGGGCCGGCCTTTTGCTGCTGCTTCTTTTTCTCTGCTTTCTTTGAGTGTACGTACAGCTCGCCGCAGAATGCGCTGCATGTCTTCCTGGTTGCAGCTGCCGATTTGCTGCTGCTGCTGCTGCTGCTGCTGCTGCTGCTGGGAGGAGGGCCCGAAGAGCCAGCGCCGCAGTCTGCAGCTGCTGCTGGTCTCACTGCTGCGGCTGCTGCCCATGCTGCAGCTGCTGCTGCTGCTGCTGCTGCTGCGCTCGCGGCGGCCGCATATGTAGCACCTGCGGCAGCCAGGGGCGTCGCTGCCAGAAGCAGCAGCAGCATTTGAGCGTGCTGCTGCTGCTGCTGCTGCTGCGGCAGCAGCAGCAGCAGCAGGAATTGTTGGGGCAAGCGAGTGGAGCAGCATTGTGGGGCCTCGCCTCAGCCCCGAAACACTGGGTCCGAAACCCTAAACCCTAAACCCTAAACCCTAAACCCTAAGCCCTCTTCATCGACGCGCATTGTGCAAGAAGCACAAGAAGCGCAACACGCTAGTTTAGGGTTTGGAGCCTGAGGCCTAGGGTCTGGGTGCCTTCATGCAGCCACAGTGCTCGCTTCTGCTCTAGGGTGTAGGGCTTAGGGTTTAGGGTTTAGGGTTTAGGGTTTAGGGTTCGCAGCGCGTCAGCAGCCAACACTAAACCCTCTCCAAAACATCATTAAATCATTCAATACTAATTTGCAAACAAATACATTTATAGAAGGGGCCCCTTTGGGCCACTTTTGGGGCCCCTTGGGGCCCCTGGGGGCCCCCAAGGGGGCCTCTGGGGGCCCGTGGAGGCCCCCTAGGGGCCCCCCACACCAAGAATGGCGTTAACGGCATTTATTTGAAACAAATCAGTTTTGTATTTATTAATTTTACACTTTTTGTTTCAATTTATTTTGAATTTTAATTTCATCTTTTTTATCTGTTGCCGCTGAGTTGACTGACCCCTTCGGAGCTCTGCACGCATGCACTCGGGGCGGGTGGTGGCTAGCTGCAGCTAGCCAGCTGCAGCTAGCTGCAGCTAGCCACCACTCCGCAGCTAGCTGCAGCTCGCTGCAGCTAGCTGTCAAGCCCTGGCTAGCTAGACGGCCACCCAGGGAGGCAGCTAGCCGCCTTCCCCGCTCCCTGGCCAGCTGCCCACTTCACCAGCTACCTAGCTAGCTAGCCAGCTAGCTAGCTAGGTAGCTAGCTATCTAGCTAGCTATCTA